ATAAATCCCAAATGTTGGGTATTTATGTACCATAATGCTTTACTTTTATGATCACAGGAAATATAATTTTTTCTTTATTAATTTTAACTTCTTGGATGCTGGTTTTAGCACTATGGTCTCTTGCCTGATCTAAATTTTTGCTCTCATGCTAATGAGTTGAATTGAAGAGGCTACATTTGAAGTGCTCCCGAGACTCAGTGAGATCAAATTTGGAAGTGGAGTTATTGATGAGTTTTTAATTCTGGACCGTCCTCAAGAAAGGAGATTATCTTCCGGAATTATGCTTTTAGAATATGCAAAAGCATTTCAAGAGAGTGTATATGAGCAACTTCGTGTTGTTCGTGAGGGTCAGCTTCGTATAATATTCTCACAAGACTTGAAGGTTTATATATTGCTAATCCAAATGAACATTTTCAGCCATTTTATTTGTTACTAAGCCTAATGTAAATGTAATCTTCAGATTTTGTCTTGGGAATTTTGTGCACGGCGTCATGAAGAACTTCTTCCACGTAGGTTGGTTGCATCTCAGGTATTGTTTTTGAACTTTATCACACTTCTACTTGAGTAAAAGTAACATGGAGGGGACTGATCGTCCTTTTCCGGTTATTTTTTCTGATAGGCATCAGCAATCTATTTCATTAAACCTTTTATCACACATGTAGTATGTTTAGTTTTTCGTGCACGAAAGGGAGCTGGAGTATTATGAAAACTGAGGAACATATTTTTAGTGCACTGCAAACCAATAAAACCTTTCTAAAGTTAGTCATAGCATGACACTGGTTGGTTCAAAAAATTTCAGACTGCCTATAAATTATTTTGAACCATATAATGTCTGCATATGCATTTTTCTGTAACTAAAACACATGGAAACATCGTTGAGAAACTCCCTCAGCTCCTTATTTTCAGCTGTGTTATTCTATCCTTCGAAAGTCCACTTTGAACTCGAGTTTTTTCAGCTTTAGAGTATTGGAACTGAATCAAAAGTTTTGCTAGTCGTGTTGTCTTGTAAGTTGTAACTTATCCTTCCTTTTTTTTACTTGACCTTTTTTATTAGCTTATTATTCTTAAAGAACTTGTCCAAAAAAGTTAAGAGTTCAGTTTCATTTTTGGAAGTCTTTCAGATAGGAAAGATACTTGTAATTCAATGAGGTATCTTTATTTTGCAGGTGAATCAGCTGGTACAGGTTGCCCAGAAATGCCAAAGCACAATAGCGGAAAGTGGGCCTGATGGTGTTTCTCAGAAAGATTTGCAGACGAATAGCAATATGTGAGTTTTGAACAGTAATACTTGTGACAGTAATATTTATGACAGTGGTTGACTGCCGCTTAGTTTGAAGCCTTTTTTCCATGGGCTCAAAATTATGACCTAAGAAAGATCTGATGGGAAAATATAAAATGGCTCTGATATTTTGAGATGGATTCATGAATGACATAGGAGCAAAAACTTCTTGAATGCATCAATTTCTGGTCAAGCTGCTTCTGCTGTACTCTGTGAGGAGTGAACTGGGTTTATTGGCCCATGTGGTTTTAGGTGCACAGGGTTTTGATTGCCCCTTGCAACATTGAATTCTGTGTAGTTAGTATATCTAAAACTTCGGGGATAATAGTACAATCTTTTGCTGATGTCCGTCTAGAAGCTAGATTGCCGTTATTAGGAATAATTTTTTAACATTTATCAATTCATAGAGTTGCCAGGTTGGTGACCAACTCATTGTGCAGTTGGATGTGTTTTAACATGGTTGATTTCTTAGGGTGCTGGCAGCTGGTCGTCAGCTTGCAAAGAGTCTGGAGTTGCAGTTGCTGAATGACTTGGGTTTCCCTAAAAGATACGTGAGGTGTTTGCAGGTAACTTCATGCATTTCTTGAAATGTATTACTAGAGAAAAAATTTCTTATGTCACTCCTATAATGTTGATTGTGTTAAAATCTCTAAATATTATCAGATATCGGAGGTTGTCAACAGTATGAAAGATCTTATTGGTTTCTGCCGGGATCAAAAAGTTGGGCCTATTGGTAATGCATCTACATCCTCATCTTCTACTACTCAGTGATGATCTATTGTGATTCTCAATAGAAATTTGTATTGATTTCCTTAATATATTTTTTCATAATTTTTAATATGAATTACTGTTTTAGGTTTTTAAAATATCATTTTCTGAGGTGTGGTTTGTTTGTAGATGAATCGTTGTTAGGTTTGGCTTCTAAGAGACTGAACTGTTACCATGCTGAAAATGACAACTTGAGTGCCAACTATTTTCTTTCAAAATATTGACTCATCATTCTCCTATCTCTCTCCTCTCTGGATAAGACCCCTTCAGAAAGTAAGGCAGTCCAATTAGATTTCGTCAGAGAGTACACTCCAAGTAGAATAGACTAACCAAATAAGGTCACAACAATCACCCTATATTTATTTCAGAAACATTCCCCATGCCTTTCTATCCATAAAGACTCATTCCTCTCTTTTGTTCTTTTCTAGTGATTTTGTGCTTTCACTCACCTTAATGACTGCTAGTTTTCTTTTGAAAGAAACAGTAACAATAGTCTCCACCTTCACATTATCAAGGGCCAAATGCGTAATTTCATCTTTTTTGGAATTTGGATCCCCAAATAGAACTAATACTAGGTTCCTTCTACATGACAACACGCATTGAGGATGGATGATAACATTCCTGAGGATTCTGTTGCATAGCATCCTGATTTGAATGGGCTTTATACCAAAGATAAAAAGTTCGAAGAGCTATCTGTTCTTGAATCCCCCCACCTGTTGTATTGTTGGGGAAAGGGATAGTGAAAGAGATAAGAATAGATCAAAGCTACAGTGCTTTATTATTGTTTTCTGACTCAATTGCTTAAGGAGTTACATAATTCCAATATTTATAGGCTTATACACTGGATCAGAAATAGTAAATTATAGAAATCTAGATAAATTCAAATCTACTGACCATCTTCGAAAATCTTGGTAGTTTGAATACTTTGTATTTCAACTACTTTAAATCATATCTAATACTTCAAATCATATCTCAACTATCACGTTTGAGATTTAGTCTCCTAAAACCATGCTCTGCTCAGACCAATAATCAGCGATGAATACAATCTTGGGACTAATTGCAAATAAAGCGTCAGGAGCTGCTGTCCGGCTAGAGGGTAATTGAGTAATTAATGTCTTTGCAATATCTACTTGATATCCCAATCCAAATTGATTGAAAAAACCAGTTTTCTCCATGTATCTTTTCTCTCAGTTTCTCTTTTTTCTGCACCTACGGTTTGGTTGTATATGATCTCACCTTTTGATTTTCCACCTTATACAAATGTGTTCAGGGATTTCAACTTCAATTTTGTGTAGCCCTGGAAACTAATACAGAACGAAAGAACATTTCTACCATTACATATTTCAAGATTTTGAGCTTTAAAACCCTTGAGTATAGTCTATTTGTTTGTGATGTTTTTCTTTTCTAGTGGGCAATAATTTTCCCTTCTGAATTGATTACTCATTTTCTTTAGTGTTCTGTGATTTTTCTTTTATTATATGTTGGAACTTCTTGTTTTTACAGAGGGCTTGAAAAATTATCCTAGACATGCCACTGCAGCCAAGCTCAAGATGCAAAAGATGCAGGAGATGGAACAGTTAGCAAGTATTCAAGGTCTTCCCACAACAGTAAATAAGCTGATGGCAATGCATCCTGAACATGATAACCATGGGATTAATAACCATCAGATGATTGGTCGAGGAGGTTTGAGTGGTTCGGCACAAGCTGCTTTGGCAATGACTACGTACCAGAATATCCTCATGAGACAAAGCTCTATGAACTCCAATCCCAGCCCACATCAACAGGAGGCCTTGTCTTCTTTCAATAATTCCAACTATAATCCATCCCCTACACTCCAGGGGAATGCATTCTTGATGCCTGGATCCATACAGAACTCTGTTGGTAGCTTTTCAAGCGCCCAGCAAACCTTGCAAAAGCAATCGCAGCAGCTGCAACAGCATCCACCAAATGCTGGCTCCTTGGTCCAACAAAATTATCCTCAGACGATTCTAGGTAGCCAGGCCCTACAGCAACAGATGATCCAGGAGCTACTGCAGATGTCTAGTAACAGTATGAGTGGCGGTTTGCAACACCCACCCCTTACCGGACCAAATGCAAATAGAAGTTTGACAAGAAGGGGTACGGGTTTTGTGGGAAACACCTCAGTTGCAGCTGGGGCATCTGGAAATCTGTCTGGGAGCAATGTCCCTTGCCCTGGTCCGAGTAGAAGCAATAGCTTCAAAGCTGCTTCAAATAGCGAGTCCTCCGCTGGTAATAGTGGGTTCAATCAAAAGGCTTCTGATTTTCCGGAAGATCTTCATCTGCCAGAAAGTTTGGTTGAAGATATAGGCCAAGATTTCCCTGAAAACGGGTTCCTTAACAATGACCTTGACGATGATTTGGGTTATGTCTGGAAGGCTTGACTAACATAATTTAGCCACCTTGTCGGCTCCCTTGCCCGAATTGTGGTGGAGAAATGTGTACAGGATGATAAATCTGTTGTAGTTGGATCCTTTTTGCCCCTTCCTTTCCCTCCCTCGTAATCTGGCTTTGTTGCGAATCATACGATTGAACCTTTGATTTTAATGTCTTGAGGAATGCTCCCCGCCTTCGGCACTACTGGTTGTGGAGATGCTCTCTTTCTACTCTCACATTAAGTTTGTTTAGTATTGGTGCGTTGATGTTAAGAAATGTATTGTTGTTCGAAACTTAAAAAAAATTAAATTGCCCCAAAAAATACCCTTGAAGAGATTTTCTTTAAAATAAAGGATACTTCCTAAAGTATAATTGAAATCTTCTCAAAGATTGATGGATATTTTATATAATTTAACCATTCTCTTATGTTATTTTTCATTACTTTCATAGATGTACTCGGGGCATTATTTATACGTACTTTCCTCGTGCTTTGGAACGTACATCTAACAAACTAATGTTGACGTTGAAAAGCAATTTTTAAGAAGCGCACAATTGAAGATTACAGAATGTCCAGTGTTAATGGCATGGTTTATAGTCATAAATAGATGTTTGTCAACAGTGATTCCTTTCCAATATATTACAGAGTAGAGTTATGCAACAAAACAGTAGTGTTTTCACAAGCTGCATAAATGGGAACACCGTGACCTAATGGCTATGTAGTTCTAACTATCTTCTCACATATGGTGACGCCCACACAACTAACTAAAGATCAGTCAAGCCCACACAACTAACTAAAGATCAGTCAAGCCCACACAACTAACTAAAGATCAGTCAAGCGCCACCAACTTGCCTCTTCCAGGAGTCCTCCACAATCAGTTCATCAACGCCCCAGTCTTCATAACTGCGCAGAATTAACAGACAGAAAATTTCACTCAAGTACCATTCTTTATCTTATCCTACAGAAAACTAGAATGATTTTGGTATTGGAAAATTGCGAGAACCAAAGCCTTAGGAAAATTTCTTTTTCGCTAAAACTAGTCCAAAACTTATACAGCCGGTCTCTTTAAACTTGTACATAAGAAACCAAATCAGTTGGTTACACTTGTTTTCAATTTTCTGAACCCTCCCCCCTTCAGGCAATCAAAAGTTAAAAGATAAAAGAATAAAATCTAAAAGCCCTAACCTTCCATCTGGCAGGTAGCGACGGATGGTGAAGGGTATCTTCCGCTCACGAAGCTCCTTCATTGCAATCTAAAAAGCACAGGATTAGATGAGATATCAAAGACCAACGCCACAAACAACCAAGAACATGCGAATCACTCAAATGGATAAGCATATAAATCCACATTCCCTATACCAGCAGAGCTATTACAATTACAAACTGTAAGCGGCCAATCAGTTTGACTAACTTACAGAAGCTTTGATGCTGGTTTCAATTATACTCTATTGTTTGAAATAGTTCAAATTTAACCCCCAACCTAGGGCATTTTTGTATGATTTAAATTTAACCCTTTTCTTTTGAGTAGGCGTACTAACCATGGCATGCACATATGAGGCAACAAAAATACATCTAGCTGGATGCCCAAACCAAAAGAGAGCTTTCCAAAGATTTTAGCTTAACATTTGAAAAAATCTAACCTCAAGTGGATCAGTCTCGCCCTCCAATTCGACCATCACAGGAGCATTCATGCTGCCCAATAGGAAAAAGAACCATCATACCAATTATCAACTTGATGCCCGTAAAAAAATTTGGATGTAGCAGATGTTAAAAAGAGAACCTGATTTGGAGGGCACGTGTACCCAAAATTCTAGCACGTTCATACTTTGTCATAAATTTTGAGGTTTTACGCACACGTTCAACAGGTTCTTCATCTTCCTTTTCCTCTGCTTCAACAGGTTCACCAGGAACATCATCATTGTTATTATTATCCAATTCTTCTTCAGCACCTTCCTGTACATCATTTTCAGTTCCACTATAATTAATCAACTTCAAAAAGAACAGTTATCTACTTTCTTTTAAATAAAGTTGAATTAATTATTTCACACCTCCAATTCTGGTTCTGGTGGCTCATCGTCATATCTGCAACAAAAACCACTAAATTAATAGAAAAGCTGAAAAATATTTGAACCTCCCAATCAGCCTAGATGAAAATATAAAGGACTTTCACAAAACAAGACTATACAAGTGTGGTCAAACTACAGCTAAGAATGGGATCTTATTATATTTACTTCTAATAGCAAACCATTTGTGTAGCCCCAAAATTCAGATTTCCAGTCCTCAACTACAGATATAAAATCCAAAAAATGTGACGTAAAATGTGACATAAAATACTAAACACGGTCTATCAGTCTAAGTTAACAGATATTTTTTTAAAAAAAAATGCAGCTGGTACAGCAATCTGATGAGCTAACTGTATTCTAGAAGCAGGGCTGATTCTTCAAGCAAATAAAAAGGGGCATCAGAAACAGGGAATAAAGTGAATAAAAGCCTACTTTGAAGAACTGATAATACAAGATTTAATGGATATATGCAGAGAGAGGCCTATCCAATTAAATAAACTACTAACCGGAAAGCTTTAAAAACAATTCTTCAACATACAATGTTTAAATCTTAGACATAGTAATCCATTATAAAGATGGAAGGTTATCAAAGTTCCTTTTCACTAATGAATAAAACGTGTATTGCCCAACAATTAGCAAAACTGACCTAAAATAACGTAGTTCACTAAAGCATGATGCTTATGAACAAAAGTATCCAATAAGGAGCATAAGGTCGTAAACATCTTTTCACATCTCAGGGCTTAGAGTGTAGTTTCCGGAATATTACAATGACGAGTGTCAGTTACAAACTTAATTTGGTATCTGATTATGAAGGTAAAAGAAGTGGAAATTTTGAGTACGGTTTATCCAGCAGCCATGCTTTCAAGGCAGAAGAAGTCCATAATTTATACCTAAAGAAAAACCCTAATTGGATATGTCCCAAGCAGCTATCTAAGATCATTGCACACGCTTAAACCTTAAACATTTGTATTGTGAGCTGTAAGGCAGCCAGAAACATCAAACATTTGCCAAAGTAACTCTTTTAAACTCCTCACACGCTTATAACTACATAAAAGCAGACTGTGCAGAATCGCTCGCACAATCGTGTCTGGTAACTATACGTCATAGCATCTCCTTCTTAACAGGTAAATGGTACTTCATCATAACCGAACTATTTTCCTTCACAAATTCAGTTCCAAATCCGTACTAACCGAGTTGAGCTTAAAGGAATGAACTTAGTTTCGAAAGGCTTTTTCATTTGACAAATTCTCTAAGAAAACAATTGACCAGAGGAACATTAAAAGATTCGAGAAGAACATATTGAATAAATAAAAGCACACGGAAAGAGATCGAACCCCATGTCGAGGTCATTGTAATCATCGTCCGCCATTGATGTTCGATGGAGAAACTGTTGCCGCGCTCGCTGGTTACTCCCTAAAACCCTCAGTCACAGAACTTTACAAGTAAACGACCACGGCGCGCCTCGACCCGAACGCAGTATGAATATATAGTAAAAATAGCGACTAAGTTCTTTAAAATATCAGGTTAGTCCCTCAAGTTTTGTATTATCAGCCGTTCCCCCCAAAATTTGTTGAAATTCTAAATACACCCCAAAACTGAAGACCTACAGTTACAGATGTATACGCGGCTGGATGAAGAAACCTTCCTTTTATATCCCCACCGTCTATTTCTTTCCTTCCCAAATAATTCTTTCTAAAAAAAATCTTAATATTATAATACAAATATTTATTTATTAAAAAAAAAAAAAAAAAAAACAGTATTTGAAATTTAGAACAATTAATTAATATACCATATTTGACCTCACCGTTCCACCGGCACTGACCTTCCAAATGTTGGGCACACAGAAAAAACCATTTCCCTGTAATACCTTGCCTTGTATAAATCACCTTTCCATAATTCCATTTCTCCATCCTCAGAACAAACCCATGCCCAACCAGACCCCCAAAGTTGACAATTCCAATGGCCCCCAAGCTTTTTTCAAGGCCCATCTCCCCAAGGAGAAAAATCTACGTCATCGCTCTAATCCTCTTCCTCTGCATTTTCTCCTACTTACTCGGCCTCCGCCAGCATGCCTCCACCCCCACCGCCGTCCTCCGCAACACCCCCTGCACCACCCTCCAAAACGTCACCGTCTCCTCTCCACCCACCAAACCCCACTTCTTTCCGGCATGCGGGGTGGAGTACAGCGAGTACACGCCCTGCCAAGACACCAAAAGGTCTCTGAAATTCGACAGAGACCGGCTCATTTACAGAGAGCGGCACTGCCCGGAAAAGGAGGAGGTTTTGAAGTGCCGTATTCCTCCGCCGCCAGGGTACCGGAATCCGTTTTCGTGGCCGGTGAGTATGGATTTGGCGTGGTACGTGAATGTGCCTCATAAGGATCTGACGGTGGAGAAGGCTGTGCAGAATTGGATTAGATATGAAGGTGAGACGTTTAGGTTTCCCGGGGGAGGGACGATGTTCCCAAATGGAGCTGATGCGTACATCGATAATATTGGGAAACTAATCGATCTTAAAGATGGGTCCATCAGAACCGCCATTGATACCGGCTGTGGGGTAATCAAGCTTTTCGATTCCTGTCTAAATTCTCTCATAATTTAATATGCTTTTTTAATTAATAACTATTTCAAAAATTAAGACCAAAATTATCCTCCAATTTTGGTATTTCTTTAATAAAATATTTGCCCAATATTATTTTCCATTTAAATTAGAGATCTTCTGAAATATAGAAATGCTCAAAATAAAAATTAAAATGTAAATTTCCTCTCGTCGACAAACATCCCCTAGAATGCTCAATTTAAGTGGAAAGAACAGGACAGCGTTCGATTATTTTAGAATAATATTATTATTATTACACACATGGAAAATATAAAAAATCTAAATAAAAATTACTTTAAAAAGAAAAAAGGAGGCAGTGAAATCCGTGTCATAGGTTCACTCAACGCTTCATTTTCTCGGCTGGACCCTAACTGGACAGGTCCACGTGGCAGTCATGGAGCAGAATTTGGTTTGGGAAATCCCATGTTTCCTCCCTGTCATAGTTTGATCAGAAATTTATCACTTTTTTTTAAAAAAATATTTATTAACATTTATTTATTTATTATTTAATACTAAAATAATGCTTATTAGATACAAAATTAATGTAATGTTTTTTCTTTTGGAATTGTTGATGATGAAGGTGGGAAGTTGGGGAGCTTATTTACTGTCGAGAGGCATCCTAACGATGTCGTTTGCACCACGGGACACCCATGAAGCCCAAGTTCAATTTGCTTTGGAAAGGGGAGTTCCTGCGCTCATTGGCATTCTTGCCTCCAAGAGGCTCCCTTATCCTTCCTCTGCCTTTGACATGGCTCATTGCTCTCGCTGCCTCATCCCTTGGCCACAATATGGTACTTTTTACCACGAACGAACTTCTGTTATTGACCATTCCTTTAACTAGACTCCCTTCCAATAATCCAAAGAGTTCTTAATTATGTTACTCGTTCTATCTTCGTTTGCTGCAGATGGGATTTACCTGATTGAAGTGGATCGAGTTCTACGCCCCGGGGGGTACTGGATCTTATCAGGCCCTCCAATCAACTGGAAGAAACACTGGAAAGGATGGGAAAGAACAAAGGAAGATTTGAACTCTGAACAGGTCTCCATTGAAAAGGTAGCCAAAAGCCTCTGCTGGACTAAGATAGTGGAAGAGGGTGATCTTGCCATTTGGCAAAAGCCCATCAATCACATGAACTGCAAAGCCAACCGCAAGATCAACAAGAATCCACCTTTCTGTAATGCCCAAGATCCTGACAAAGCTTGGTATCTTCTTCTTCTTCTTCTTCATACCCCTGCTCAACTTTACATACATACTCTTTTCTTATGTAGAGTTTGATTTTGTTCTCTTAGGTATACGGATATGGAAGCTTGTTTGACACACTTGCCAGAAGTTTCAAGCAGTGAGGAAATTGCAGGAGGGAAGTTGCCAAAATGGCCAGAAAGGCTAAATGCAATCCCACAAAGGATTAGCAGAGGAAATGTGAAAGGGGTGACAGAACAAACTTTCATTCATGATTCTCAACTATGGAACAAGAGGTTATCATATTACAGAACCATCAACAATCGTTTGAGTCAGCCTGGACGCTACCGCAATTTCTTAGACATGAATGCTTTCTTGGGAGGGTTTGCTGCTGCTCTAGTTCATGATCCAGTTTGGGTGATGAACGTAGTCCCTGTGGATGTCAAAGTCAATACGCTCGGAGTCGTATACGACAGGGGTTTGATCGGCACGTATCAAGATTGGTAAGTATTTTTAGCAAGTGTAGATAACATTCATGATTTTCATGTCAGGTAATTTATGAACTGTGGATGTGGATGGATTGCAGGTGTGAGGCAATGTCTACTTATCCAAGAACTTATGACTTCATTCATGCAGATTCAGTTTTTAGCCTCTATGAGAATAGGTATTGCCTTTACTAAAACAATGCGAAGTTCTTTAGAGAACATGTGGAGTCTGTGTTTGTCTGAAGCTGTTTTGTTGAAATTGGTTTGCAGATGTGAAATGGAAGACATTCTACTTGAAATGGACAGAATTCTGAGGCCAGAAGGAAGCGTAATCGTCCGAGAGAACGTCGAGATTTTGGCGAAAATCAAGACAATAGCGGATAAGTTGAATTGGAGCAGTGAAATTGTGAATCATGAAGATGGATCATCGCATCAGAATGAGAAAATTCTATTTGCAGTCAAGAATTATTGGACAGCACCTCCTGAAATTTCTGATCAACAAGGATCAACAGCAACTTAATCATTCATTCACCTTTCTTTTCTCTATATTTTTTATGAACTTTTTTCTCTTTGAGCTTTTTTATGATTTACCATCGAGATTTAGCAAGAATCAAGTGTTTTCTCCTGCATTAAAATTACTTTTGTCTCCCATTTTTCTCTTCCTTTTTGCTGTATTCATTCAATTCAAACCACAGTGCATTGTAAAACCATCTTATTTGATTACAAACAAATTAAAGGCTGTTAATCAATGGAGGTGAATGATCGTTTCAGTTTCAAATTGCATTTGAAGTTGATTTTGGTTACACAACACAAAAGCAATGAACTCAGAATTGGTATGTAGGTGATTCATGCAAAGTTGAGCCTTTCAACTCCCATAAACAACACTAAAAACCCTGAAGAAATCATCAAAGCAATAGATTCAGAAGCACAAAAACAGTGATTAAAAAAGAGAAGAGATAATTATGGTAGGCAGCAAGTTGTGATTGTGTTGGTGGAACTGGTGGGTGAGGCAGAGGCACAGCCTCAGAGCTGCTCAACTCAGCTGAGCAACCTGAATGGCTGTGCACCATTTGTGGTGCCAGGTGCCAGTAACCCAAGCCCAGAGTGCTGTGGGGCACTTGGAAGTGTGCAGCAAGACTGCGTTTGCAGCACCCTCAGAATTGCCTCCACTCTCCACTCTCCCTTCTAGTTGCCACCACTTTTGGTTGAGATCAAGTTCACTATCACCACTTTTAGTTCGTTACAATGTAACTATCAGCCTCACGATTTTAAAACGCGTATGTTACCGTGAGAATTTCAAAATATTTCTCTATGTGATTAAAATAATTTTCATATTTTAAATCCGTCTAAAATCAATATCTATTTGATATAATTATTAAAAAAGAGTGAAATAATATATTTTAAAAACTTTAATGCTATTTTGAAATTTGTACTTTCATAAAAGCTTTAAATAATGTTTTTTTTTAAATAATAAAAAAAAAGTTGTTAAGTAATTATTATTGTATTGGAAAAATAAAGAGGAGAGGTATATAAATGTGTTTTTAAGAAATTAAAAGCATAGCAAGTCGTGAACCACAGAAACATGAAAGGTAAGCGCGTGATGTAGACAGTAGAGAGAAGCGCGTTGCTCAGAAGCTGCTCACATCACAATTCCCATTTCCCAAATCCAACCTCACTTCTTCAACTTCTTTATACTTCTTCTTCTACTTCTACCTCTGCCTCTGCCTCTGCTTCTGCCTCTGCCTCTGCCTCTGCCCCAAATTAAAACTCTCTCTTCTGATCCATTCTTTGATATTTTCCCAGCCATGCTTCTTCTACTTCTCCCCACCTCCTTCTCCTAGCTTTCCACTTCCTTCCATGGGCTTTCTCCGGCGACTTTTCCGTCCAAAAAAGCCCCCTCTTGACCCACCCGACTCCACTCAAGGCCTCAACAAGAAGAAGAACAGGCGCTGGGGCTTCGCCAAGTCCGCCCACAACGATCAATCTCGCCCTTACACGACGCAATCCCAGCCCAATGCGTTTGGCCCGTCCTCTTCCTACACCGAACCTCTCGATGCCAACAAGCACGCGATTGCGGTCGCCGCCGCCACCGCTGCCGTCGCCGAGGCAGCTTTAGCCGCCGCCCATGCCGCTGCCGAGGTTGTTCGTCTCACCAGCAGCAGCACCACTCACGCTAATGCTAACCGCCGTTGGATGGAGGAGGCGGCTGCCGTTAAAATCCAGTCCGCCTTTCGGGGTTATTTGGTGAGTTGGCTCTTTTGTTCTCTGTGTTACATTCTCTCTTTAGAAATTTCCCCTTCCATTATGGCTGAAATTATTCCCATTTGACCTCCAATAGAGAAGGATTTTGGCAATGTTGGGGGTCAGCCCTTGTTTGAGACTTTCATTTTTACCTTTTTGAGTTACGTCGATGTGGGGTTTTGCTGGTGCTTGTTTTTCAAACTCGATTTCTTAGAAAGTTTGCGTTTAGCCGTAGTTCCTCTAGAATTTGATATCATTTGTGTTCAAACCTACAATTTTGAATTCCCCATCTTCCCTGTTGACCAAATTGGAAAGAGAATTACCTAATCTGCATCTCCTGCATTTCTTTCAAAAAGCAACTTTTATCTTTTCAGAAAGTAAAAGAAAGAACTTCACATGGGCATTAGGGATTGCGTTTCCATGTTCCTTTACCCGATGCTTCACTTTCCTCTTCCTTTGTGTTCTGGTCTGGATTTTTCATCCACAATGAAGCACAAAACATGAAGTGGTCCTGAGAATTTTCCCGGAAAATTAAGTGGGTGGAAAGAAAAATGAGTTGGGTTAATGCGCCGACACAAGTGGATGAGTGATCTCAGCATCTCAGAACATCCAACTCCGTATTGTCCACGCATGTCCAATTGTGTAGTATGTCCCTCCACTGTTCTAATGGTTGCACGTGTATTGCGTCTACACGTGTTGGCATCTTCCTGTTCCTTCTCCAATTCCCTTAGCGACCAGATTGATCATACTTTGATTACATGATTGCACTTCCTCTTGTCAAGAATCTTCCATGCTTAATGTAATTGCTTATTGCTTTGCCATAATCATAAAACACACTGCTGGGTCCTTCCCTTTCAAGTTTTCTGGGATTTGTTTTTCATTCAGGGGAGAAATCAAAAGCCTTACCTGCTAAATTAATTAAATGGTCTGCTTAAAATAATTAAAGTGACTTTATCTTCGCTTTTGTATAGCTCAAATGGTTGTATTAAAGCTGCATTCTGGCGTTGGTTGAAATTATTTTATGCATTGGTCCCCTTCCCCCATCATAGCTCTTTCCACATTTATTTGAAGGAATAAAGTAATTCAAGGGACTTTTTTGAATATGAGTTGCAGAAGGGGTTTTGGTTATTATTATGTCTAACTTTTCGAGGGACATTTTGAAGGCAAGGCGGGCACTTAGGGCACTAAAGGCATTAGTAAGGCTTCAAGCTTTGGTGAGAGGTCACATTGTGAGAAAGCAAATGGCTGACATGCTAAGGCGAATGCAGACACTGGTTAGATTGCAATCTCGAGCTTGTGCTGGTCGCTCGAACTTATCAGATTCTTTGCATTCTACCAGCAAGTCCTCGCTCTCTCATATCCGTGTACGTGTTCGTTTCCCCCTACCATTGATGTTCAGTTTCCAATATTGTCATGCTATTTCAAGTACATTCTCTTTTTTTTCCTATGAATGCTGTTGTTGCACACCATCTCCTCCAACCTAGGAGCTCATAGCTGTCTAGGATTCTCAAGTTTATATTGAATTAATTGTTTTGTTTGGATATAAAAAGAGCAAAGAATTTGGTCATCCAAATTGTTCTAGTTCTGTTTGCCACTTTTTCCACAGGCAACCTGTGGCGATTATTAGAGAATGATCTTCAATTATTTTCCTTCCGTTGATAGGTCCAAGCAACTCCCAATGGAAATGATCATCAATTCTGTGCCCATCTTAGTAATAAATTTGACAACTCTGCACTTCTAAAGGTATACAACTTAATGCCATTTGTAGCTGAATGACTTTGATTTCATTAGTTTTTCTAAGCTCTAGTGTGGTTTTTTCATTCTTATTTGCGCTATTGGTTAAGTTCGTTCAAGTTATGGCAGACTGATTTTGTCACCAAAAAGTAATATTTGTTTTCAACTTTTGCTACCAACTCTTGCAGAGATGTGGTTCAAATTCAAACTTAAAGGATGTCAGTGTTGTGGATGGAGCGCCAGTCGGGTCAAGCTGGTTAGACCGTTGGATGGAAGAAAACTTGTGGAATAATCGAGATTTGGCTCTAAAAAACATTCATGCTGTGGATGAGAAAACAGACAAAATCCTTGAAGTTGAGACATGGAAACCTCATTTGAAGTCTCAAGGAAACATCAGCAGCTTTAAGAACTCTCAAATGGCTCCAGATTTTAAAAACCAGAGCTTTACGACAATCGATTCCCCATCGAAACATTCATCAAAGGCTGCAAAACCAGTTTCGAGTCTTTCCTCAGGGGAAGCATCGTTGAGCTCTTTAAAATACCCTCTTGGAAAATATGAAGCAGCTCCAAGAACAGGAGAAAATAGCCCTCAAGTGCATTCTGCCAACTCCAGGCGTGGTAATGGCGCAAAAAGAGCTACATTTTCGCCGACAAGAAGTGAGTATGCATGGGGATATTTCAGCGGCTATGCAGGTTATCCAAACTATATGGCCAACACAGAATCGTCCAAAGCAAAAGTCAGGTCACAAAGTGCTCCAAGACAGAGGCTGGAGTTAGAGAAAATCGGATCGAACAAGCGGCATTCCCAGGTATCTTGGGATGCATGGAGCTTTTCAAACAGCGGGATCGAACCCAATTCATCAAACAATGCCAATTCTGTAGCTGATCGCATGACTAAGTTTGCAAGTACCAAATCAAGATAATCTTTGTTTGTTTCTTTAACTTCTCGTTTTTGATTATGCTGTGTGTGGGCGTGTGCTTTCTTTTGTTCAGCAGCAATGTAATTGTAATTATTTGACCTCTTCTGATGTCTAGTCTACAACTTGTTGACCATGAACGTACAATACTTCCATGTTTCGAGTGCTAAGCCAATGCCTTTGAAATTTGAATTGTACTCTGATTTGACTAATCAACCTCTGTTCATCTCCTCAATCTGTACACTTTCAACACTGTCGACCAAATTGTTCAGCTGGTCTAAAAGATTTAAATACTACTATCTTCTCTTGGAGCTAATGCAACATTGTGATGTGTCACAAGATGGTCATAAAAAGCTGGCTCATTCTCCTCTCCAACTAATTGGGATCTCACAATCCATCTCCCTTGGAGGTCTAGCGTCCTTGCTAACACGCCGCTCAGAGTCTTGACTCTAATACCATTTGTAATATCTAAGTCCACCGCCAGCATATATTGTCTACTTAGCCCGTTACATATCGTCGATTTTAAAACATGTCTACTAGAGAGATTTCCATACCTTTCTAAGAAAGGTTTCATTTCTCTCTCCAACCGACGTGGGATCTCACATTAATATTGTTTTGTTTTTCTTCTAGAACTACAGAACATTCCGCTCTTTGTTACATTTGAGAATATGATGTATGAACCAACATTTTGATTTTTCAAATCATAACCTAATCCATCAACAATTCCTCCAAAGATGGTTTCATATAATTAAGTAATGGCTACTATTCCAACAACTTTCAAGCAGAAAAGTTACCATATAATAGAATATCATAACCATCATGACATAATATCATATCAACGTCATT